GATTCTTACTCGATTCTTATCTGATTCTTACGAAATTCGTGCAACTTTCGTGCCACTTCTTATATACGAATCTGATAAGAATCGGATAAGATTCTTATCAGAAATTTCAAAAAAAGTTTGTCTAGGGGAATCTCTTAGTTTTCAATTTTCTTCTGAAAGTGAAAGTAAATGCAATAAGAGTTCAGACAATATTAGTTATTAACCGTGACCTATTTAAATTTCTGTTTATTTTTCTATTTTAGATGCCAACGTTATCAACTACTGCTAGTCAACCGCCAAAATTAGTTCTAGAAGGTAACAAATGGGTAGTTGAGTATCAACATAATCAACCCAATCTGAAAATTGATGAGACAAATATGAAACATACCGTTTATATTTATAAATGTACAAATTCAACAATACGTATTGTTGGAAAAGTCAATTCAATCGTCCTTGATTCCTGTACAAAAGTTGGACTTCAATTTGATAGTGTTGTATCATTAGTAGAATTTATTAATTGTAAATCGACCAAACTGCAAGTAATAGGTAAACAGTGATGAACTCAGTCTAAACAATCAATTGAAGATATGACCCTTTTTTTTTGTTATCGAATGATTCATCTAAACAGGAGAGTTTATTTGTAGTGTTAAGCGAAAATAATTTAGATGTATTCTGCTATATTACTGATGAGAGTGCAGCTATCATATATCATGTATACAGAAAAAGAAAGATTTAAGTCGACTATAATTAATTTCATAGCATAGAATTTCATCACACACACACACATTATACTCTTTAAAATATAATAAACGTTCTATCTTCATGTTTAGATTTCGTTCCAACCATTCAAATTGAAAAGACGGATGGTTGTCACATTTATTTATCTAAAAAATCATTACAAACTGAATTTATAACATCAAAATCTTCTGAAATGACCGTTAATGTGCCATTTGGTGATGGTGAATATCGAGAAATTCCTGTACCAGAACAATTTAAAACAAAATTAAATCCAGGTGAAAAAAGTTTAACAACAGTTCCAAACGAATCAGCTGGCGTTTGAGGATATTAAATAATTTAGAGAATTATATAACTGACGGTGATAAATGGTGCTTTTATCCTTTTATGCTTATTTATCTGATTATCGTGCAATTATTCTTAACCTCTCTTTTGTCTTATTTAAAATAATGGATGGGACAAAAGTTCTACATTCATTTTGTTTTTGATATAACGTGGCAATGGAATATCGTAGAGATTTTATCATTTTGTTAGAAAGAGCAAAGTATCTAGTAGAGAAATATATAAAGCGTTTGATCGGGAAAAAAAAATTCCCGCCAATAAGAAAGGTTATCTTTTTATATTCATTATTTTATTCCGAGTTTTTTATAATGTAAGGATTGGACACTATTGCTTCACAAAAAAGAAATTTTCTTCATATTTTATAATGGTCGCAATGAGCGTGTGACTAAGGAGTTTTGTTTGCTTGTCTACATATTCACTATAAAATTCGCGTCATTTTGACCAAAAAAGATTTGCTTTTCTATTAAAATATTAAATAATGATATTTCCTATGCATAGGAACGAATATGAGTATTGAAGGGGAAAACATTTCCGTTCGTTGTAGAGAATATAGATACAGAACGGTGAATTTAGTTTTGTAGTTTACTACAAAGCTAAGTTCACATGTTCGAATCTCTATTCGTACAAAAATTGATTTTGTGTTTTTCGATAGTTTTAGTTTAGAATACTATAATGGAATATTCTTGCGCTTGTATTCTCACAGAATAAAGCTTATATAAAAAAAGAAAAAAAAAAAGAATTTTTTTTTCTTTGGTCTTAGAATTATTTAGAATCTTCCGAAGTCGGACACCAATATTAGTACTTCGTCATAATGAAGCGCGTCGGGTTTCCAGAATGTGTATTTTGTTTTATAATCCAGAATTTTTACCATTAAAAGAGAATTTAAATGCTGCTACGACAAATGGTGTAAATGATGTTGGACATCATGGTAATAATTTTTTGAAAGAAAATAAATAAAACAATAGAGTAGTGTCTTTTTTGTGACTTTTTGTTATTGCATGTTTTGTATCTCAAATATTCAAGCCAAATAGAATAATATGTGTTATACTTCGTTATATGTTTTGAACTTGCAGAGCTGAGAAAACGAAAGAAAATTTTTATGGGATCGTCGCTATAAATGCATTTTTCTTCTATTCTATTCAAATTTCAAGGATAAGGACCGAAATAACCTTATTTAAAGAACTAAGTGACCTCACAGGTAATTGTTTTACTAAAAAGTCAAAAAACATATAGCCATCAGAATCCACATTGGTTTTGATAATATCTAAGGTTTTGTAAAAGCTTTAACAAGTAAGTTTTTGGGAACTCGATACTTTCTACAAATAAAATTTTCTGACCGGTCACGGTTTGTAAAGAAGGGGCTATTCTTGTTTAAGTTTGAAGATCGAAGTGACATGCGGAGTCTCGATATGTACCAGTCACGTAACAGATACAGCGCATCTAGGGAAATTATTATAACGATGTTGTTAAGAATCGTCTCGAGCTGTGGAATGTCTCATTTTGTAGAGAAATATTTGCTCTTCGTATTTATCGAACGAAAGAAATTTAAGCTTAATTGTGATACAATGAGTATAGGAGTATGCCACAATGTCATAACTGTACATAATAACTGGTCACCAGTTATGTAACTGTCTGTGTCTGATCGCAATCTCATGATCAAAAGTACTTGGTAATCATTTGTATCTGAAAATTTTTACTGATCAAAACAATTCATATTCATTATTATTGCCTGAAAATTCAATTTTAATAGCCCGATTTTGTTTGTAAACAACTAATGCCATACAAGAAGACAATAGAATTAAGAAAACATAGTTTTTTAGTAACTAAGCTTTCGATACACAAACATCCAGAAAAAACATGTGTTGGCTGGGAATCGACCCAGGACATCAGTCAACAAGTTCAGTACTCTACCACTGAGCTGGCACAGTCTTGGCATGGGTTCTTCCGAGTGAATGATCTTTGTTATAGAAGTGTGTATTGTAGTGGTACCTCATCTGAGGCAACTTTCACCACACACCTGTACCAAGAATTTATTGTGTCTCGGTTCGTCGCTAGCTGAAAATCAAATTAAATTTGAGAGTGAACAAGGACTTTTACTATGAAAGTTAGAAAAAAGTACATATTCTCTTCCTGTAGTCCAACCTCTAGTAAGTACGGTGAATAAAATAAGTAATTAAAATAAAATGTTTCATATGTTGCCTCTACAATCATATGAAACTGTCATTTAATGAATCTGCCTCCATATCTGATATATTAATAAAGATTTTCTTCATTACATTCAGAAACAACAAGAATATGGCTTTGTTCGTATGTATATTCGTTGTTTTAGTGAAACTTTCTTTCTGCAGTTTCATACTTTTTAGCTCTTACCGCTGCCTATTTTATTAATATTTTCTATTGCTAAGAGTGCTCATTCTGATTGTGTTAATCTAATACCAGGAGCAGATTATTTAGCCCAGCACAATTTGATTACACTCGATTCTTTACAATCATCTTCGCATGTTGGTTTGACAACGATATGTTGTGGAAATTTTACTGGAACAGGTTCGCCGAAGTTTGCCATTAACGCAGAAACATTTCCCCCGCAAAACGTCAGTTTAGCCATATCTGGGTACGTTTTCGGTGGCGGACAAGTTGCAGTGAATCATGGAAGTTGCACTGTGGGTTCATCAAACACGATTCAGAGTACAACTTCAAAGCAATATGTGAATGGAAACATATTTAAAATGAGTGGTGGCTCTGGGTCCACCCTCCGCATAGATACGACACTCACTGAACAATGCAACAGAATTATACACGACATAGAAATGTTATCCACAATATTAGCTAGTAAACCTTCAAACAATATCGTTAGCATTCCCCAAAACTCACCAACTACTCTAAACTTCATTGTCACAACGGTTGATGCCCATCAAGTGGCCTACTTCAACGTATCCTGTTTGGATACATTTCAAAATTCGAATGTACAACAAATTCTAGTAACTAATACCGCAAACGCCCAACTAATCGTTATAAACTGTTACGGACTCGCTGTAACATATAACAAAAATATGGTAGGTGACTGGTTAGGAGGATCCAAAGGAAGAAGTCAAACAGTATTCAACTTCGTCAACACACAAACGTTGACACTTACATCGGAATTCTGCGGGACACTCTTAGCACCATACGCCACTGTCAACACAACTGCAGTTATTCGAGGTACCACCGCAGTACAACGCTTTATACAGACAGGCGAAGTGCACGGACCAACAACACAATTTCCATGCATACCAAGTGAGTTCATTCGTTCAAAGCGAAACGACCTTCTGTGCTTTCGATTGAGCATGGAATACGAGACAAATCCGATATACTACTTTAAAAGTGAAATGATCGAGAGACGAGGCAGCATTAATTTTGAACGTCAACTTTCAATGTATTAACAGAAGTTCGTTAAGTCATCCTGGGGAAGGAGGGCAGTTTGGTGGTTGGATTTCACTTCACGTTTTCGCTCGTTTCCAAGACGAAACATTTTTCATGTCAAATTCATGATCATGTGCGCCGAGAGAAAATGCATTGAGGACGGAGAAACGAACAGATGTGGTGCTGTATGTAAGTCATCTGGGCAGCCACATATTGACTTTAAAAATATAAGTGAGTAAAAGAAAATGTGGTGTTCAGTCGTCGGAAAAGCGGGAATGCTTGTTACATTGTTGTTATTCGAATTATTGTTTCTCACTTTTCGGAATATTGTGTTAAAGAGCGAATTCACTTTGAAAAGATTGGCGAGAATATATCACATTGTGTTATTTATTATCTGATATTCTTCATTATTGTAGACAGCGATTTGAAACTATCCATTGACAGTGCCTGCAATAATGCAGAAGATTCTGGAATAATCTCGACATTTGACGCTTAGTAATATTATATTATCAGTGCTAAAATACACAGAGAGAGGTGTTCCATATTGTACTGTGAGCTACGCTATATGGATAAAAAGATACGCAGAATATTATCGTTATTTTTTTTCGTCACTTTATTGTGACATGTAGTGGTGAATAATTTCTTATTTTCGTAAGTAACCTAGCCTGGGGAGCGATATTTGATATTAGTGACGGCATGACAGGTGAAACATCAGTTTTAGATACAAAACCTTTTGGTTTTTCATTTTCAACTTTTAGAACAACAGTTGCATGAACGGCTAAAACGAGAACTAGATGGTGGCACAGGTAAGGACACCAACGTTCACCGATTTTTAGTTTTTTCTGATATTTTCTTTTAGGCCAAAGAACAAAGCGATCGAGACCACCGAGTGAGTCATAGTACTTTTTATGCTAAAATCTGGAAATATTAAAAAGGAGAATTCAAGAGAACAACTACAGCAAATAAAAATATAAGATTTTTAATGTTTTATTAAATTGGTTTTTGTACTTTAGCTCTCCTACTATCGTAGAAGGCACACAATGGCGAAAACCCGTTCGCGAGTTATTCATGTCGCCATCATCTACACTATATTTTGACATGGATAGCTACAATAACAAATATGAACACATTTATGTTATAAGTCCTGCCACTATCTCTTAAGGGTACCCTCCCTCTTTTTTCACCTTGTTGCCAAATGAGCACACGTCCGACTGAGCTCCAATTTATAGCAGAGATAGAACATCTAAAAAGAAAATAGATATACTTTTGCCCAGAATTTTCTGAGATTTTCTTATATGAGTTTTAAAACTCCAGTTTTCATCGGGTCACATTATGATTCCTCGAAAACATGATCCGATCGAGCTCAAATTTTTCCCCCAGATACTTCTGACCCTAGCTCAGAATGTAAATTTTTTTTCCAAAAAATATCCTTTCCTTCTCGAGATATACGAAAAATGCTGGAAACCAGTGGAAAAAACTGAAAAAATCTGACCTTTTTTGCGTGATTTTCAGCATTTTTCGTATATCTCAAGAAGGAAAAGAGAGGGGAGTACCCTTAAGAGATAGCGGCAGGACTTGTAACATAAATGTGTTCATATTTGTTATTGAAACTATCCATGTCAAAATATAGTGTGGATGATGGCGACATGAATAACTCGCGAACGGGTTTTCGCCATTGTGTGGCCAAGACCGGGGCACATAATAATGTGCAAAAACCAGAGTTTTTGTGCGGGTCTCTGGAAGATTTCTAAGTGGGTCTCTGAAAAACCAGCTTATAGCTCCAAAGTTTTACATAGAAATCTGTCAGTTTTTTTCATTTATGAATAGCCCAAGGTGTCTTCTACAAAACCAGACCCAGGCGACATCTCGAAAATCCATGGTTTGGACGTTTACTATTTAACTACGGACGTTTTCTTGAAGCCTTAGGACTCCTCTGCCGTTAGGTTTGGGGCTGTCAGAAATGAATGAAAACATAGAAAACATTACCGACTATGCTGAATCTCGTAGTAACATTCATTTTTCAAAACAGTTCCAAAAACCTATTGAAAACGTATATTAGGTGGAATATCCCATTTTTGCCTATTTTTGAGTAAAATTCCAAAATTTATAACTCGGTGAAGATCAATCCAAGTTGTGTCAGAATATGAAGATATACTCTATTTTACTTTCTCAATACTATGCAGCTCAACAGAAGCTTTAAAAATCGACAGAAAATACTCTGGTTTTTTAAAGGGTTTTCTACAAATCTTCCGAAGTACCAGTGTGGTTGCTACTATTCTCAAGTAAAAAATCGTTTGGAGTAGGTAAAATAGAGTACATCTTCATATTCTGACACAACTTGTTTTGAAAAGTGATAAATTAT